ACTAAACTGATAAAAACCTTAATCAACAAAGCAGCAACATGAACGCAAGTAGGGCTAAGTTGATCAATTGATTTGGCTTTACGTTTGTCATTTACAGCCTCTCAAATGTCGGAATGGTTCTTTTCTTTGTCATACTCTCCAAAATTCGTCCCATGTAATATAATGTGATATTTATGATGTGGTTTATTGTTGTTGTTTATTTGTTTTTTTATGTCTTTATATTACATACTCCATGAGCTTTTGAATTGCCCCTAGGGGATAAATAAAGTTATTTGAATTTGAATTTGAATACATGATGGTAAACTGAATATCTCTGGACGAGTGGTTGACTGAAATGGGTTTTTAGTGGTCGATGCCAATATTAAGTGTTTATTCAAAGGCAATCGATGGATTTGTTGGGCTTCTCTCTACGTTAGAACACTGTAAGGTCTTTACTTTACTATGTGAAATGCACTGAGATTACTTGTGTTGAGAATTAGTAGTATATAAATAAAATTTAATTGAATCAATGGCTGATACGTAATGCTGATATCATGCCGTCCTGGTTGTTTTGCATCTCGTAAAATACAACAATTTAATAATTAGAACAAATGAGACATAAAATGGTTTAATTTTAAACTCTGCAATGTCTCTGCTGGAGTAGATCTTCAGTCTGCCTGCAGAGCATTCAATTTAATTCGAAAACAATCCAAAATAAATATCTCGGGTAATTTAGGCATTCAACTTTATCAAAAAGTTAAAAAAAAATAAACTGATGAATAAATAAAAAATAAAGATTTTGAGCAGGATTTAGCAGCAGAAAGCAGCCTCTCTGTCGACTGGCCTCACAAACGTGTTGACCTCTGATGTTGTGGTAAACATGTTGTATCGCTTCCTTTCTTCCTTTCTTATCTTAAAACGGGATTTAATCACATCGATCGCTCGCTGTTTTGGACCCGAACAAAACTAGACATTTCAAAACATCACATTGGGCTGCGGGAATTTATCACAAGCACAAAACAATTACATGATTCACTAAGAAGATAACAGGGAGATTATTCAACAATAATAAAAAAAAATAGTCGCTAGCTGCAGCCCATAAACGGAAGACATGTTTAATGAAAGTACAGGGAGGCGACTCTCCTCAGCTGCCCAGTGCCAGCCGCATGTGCAAGCCACACGTATTCTCTGGTGGTTGTCAAAAGGCATCAAGAAGGCAATTAACACTTCATCTCACTATCCAAGCTCGGGGAAGCATTGAACATCACAGACTGTTGATGTATGACAGTGTAAGAAGATCCAAGGAGGGGTGGAGGGTCCTTTCAGTCAGTCTCTGCCGAAGAGAGCCGAACAGGTGGAATAAAAACCCACTGCAATTATCTCCCACTCAATTATTCAGGCTTATTGTTGCAGGATTCCTTATGGCACATTTTGTCTTCAGGATCCTTTTGTGGTCTTTTTAGTAGAAAAAAAAAAAGACTGCAAACTTGGATAACACAATTGGTTCTCAAAGAGCAACAAAAAACTGTAAATTCCTCACAATTCAGCATGCATACCGGAATCAAAGATCTGAGTGAGATGCTTCAAGTATTTTTAGTCAGGCAACTTATTTTTGTCACTCCTCATTAGATATTAAGTGTGACTGTAAGAAATTACACATTTTTTTCTGTTTGTTTCTCACTAGATCCTGTAGGTATGGCTACCAAGTAACGTGTTCTTGACATACACTTGAAATACTCTGTAGCTTGGAGACTGTGGGGGATTCCCAAGACTCTTATCTAAACCTCTTGAATAAAAAGTAAACATTACTCAAATTAATTAAAAAACAAGACATACCACCTCGCCTCTGTTTCCTTTAGGCAACACCAAAGTATAACAGGATCATCACTGCCTCACTTTGATGTTATTAGTCAGTGTTTCCTGTCCACACAAATAAAACTATCACAACATTTCAGCGAGGTGCAGTCACAATGGCACAATAGCGCATATTTTTGAGCACCAAGATGCATTTATAAACCAAAGTTACCATTAGAATTTTTGATGCACTCGTTTGCTTACTAAGCACATATTTTCCCTTCTAAAACTTTTCAGAAAACTTTGACCTTTCATAAGGGCTGTGTCTGTTGAGATCCTGCCGTCAGAAATGCTGTATCTCTGGAGTAGCTCTGTAAAATGTGAACCCTGGTCATCTCAGTATATTATTATCATTATTTATCGTTTAGACTTTCTGAAAAGGAGAAAGCTTTTTCCATTCTTGGCCTGATTTGTAAATCAAGGGCGCTCCAGGACCTGGGAGCTAAATGGTCCATCCATTAAGCTCCATGAGGCAAAAACAAGCAGATCCAAGTCTGTTTACAACATTAATCAATGAGCTGCCCACTCACAAGTGTCTACGCTGCAATAGCTACCTGCGAGCACTACGCCTCTACTCTCAATCGTCCCCTCAAGGTTAATGCCTATTGCCTTGCTCCCAGGATGGAAGCTGCATGCTGAGTGTATCGGCTGGTCTGGAGCCAGAGGATCGCTCGAGACAAACTTCTGTTTTCCATCCTGGCTGCGCAGGAAAACGTCAAAAAGTCTCAGCTGTGATTGATGCTGAAGCTGCAGGTGTATTCGTCATGGCAGGTACGTAAATTCAGACAGATTCAGAAGGCTGAGTCAGAATCACTGGACAAGTATGGGTTCACGTTAAAGGAATATGACTCAGTTTCTCTTTGTCCTCAAGCATTTAAACAAGGGCAACAAATCAGAGAAAGGGAGATGCGTGCTTAATTGCAATGCAGAGCTATATGTGTAAAAGAGCGTGTTTAATTGTGCAGATTCCAGCGATATGAATAAATATAGCTACTGACAATGAAAAAAGGGTTATATTGACATTTTATATACATGAGTGAGGCGGATGATCAGATAGCGGTGTTGCTGCAGTAAAATAATAACAAGAGGCCGTGAAAGTTTTTAGAAATTTGCAAGATTAACGTAGATGATAAGATGGAAAGTGGAAAAAACAATGTTGGTGATGCAAGAAGGATAAGAAAGAAGACAAAAGTGAGAATCACAGTGAGACAGAGAGTATGTAGTGTGAAATATCAGAGATGATGGAAAATGGTAAAATACAGTGATAAGGTATAATCATCTGCACGGAGAAGATAAGGTAAAGACACACTAGGCAGCATCGAAAGGGAAGAAAACTTCCAACAGAGTCACACTGATGTAATCTAAATGATTCCCTTTCAGACTGATGCAACCTTTTTTTGCTGTGTAGTGCAAACACAAGGAACACAAGCAACAAAGTGCTGGGATGAGTCTACAAAACTTTTTCTTTTTTTTTTGTAAACAAACACGCAAACAGAATTAACCCCAAACTCCACAATTCAGTCCGAGCATCTATCCTCTCTCTGAACTTTAGCAATCACACGAGAATACAAGTTTACAAGCGGGGCAGTCAGAAAACATACGATCCAGCCATCAGCCACCTCATCCGGGCACGGCGCGGCCATCAATGATGGATGATGCATGAATTAACCATGAGAGAGGGGACAGAGATCTAAACACACAGTGAGTTCCCAAGGGTAACGGAGGAACCGATGGTAAGCAGCCTGGAGACGCCCAAGTGTAGCTTGGGCACCACTTAGCATACAACATTACGCAATGCCAGGTCAAGAGGAAATTTCAGAAAGCTTGCAATAGTGACAGTGTTGAGGAACTGACATAACACACTTCTAGAAAATCTCGAATGTACATACACATGCAAACACTAGATTGAATTTCACAGAAAGTAATAATCCCAAACAAAGTGCATTTAAAAGCTTAAGATTAGCAACTGAAGTTGTTTGCTTTATTTGTTGGAAACATTTAGTCCCGTGTCGTGAACAAAACACAGTTCAGTGCCTTTTTTTCAACTTGTGGCAATAATTTCAACTACGTCTCTTAACAGTAATCATCAGGTAGACTTACTGTATAGCAAAATGACACATCTCCTTATAAAAAAAATAAAAAACACCATTAAAACATAAATACATGACTGTCAAGTTGTCAAACCGTGCCGCCAAGCTGCTGCAGCGTCCTGGGGATTTAAGTATATGGGCCTAATTGATTCAATTAGACTTGGACTCACCTCGACACCGCCAGCAGACCGACACCGTCTAAGCTGGCAAGGCAACCATTAACAAATCCCTTCTAAGTGTCTGCAATGAGCCAGGCTCAGCAGTGCCTCGATCAAATCCATCCACACACACCTACTTTCCTTCCCACATGACTGGTGGAGTTTGCCTGTCAGTGTGTTGTGACACATTTAACACAGTGCCAATCATTAGGCATGTCTGTGTGTGTGTGGGCCATACAGAAAGAATTACAAACTAATAGTTAGTAAGTAAAGCCATACAAGAGGCTTTCAGCCAAGCTTATAGGCAGAAGACAACATTAAATGTGTGCACATCAGATTGCATGACAATATGGGTTACTGTGCAGTAAGCAAGCCCAGAGTGGCAGGCCATACTCCTGCATTGATACAAAGAAGATTACAGGCCGAGTTCACACAAAGGGCTGCAGCTTTAATGACCGTTCAAGGCTTATGTTGTAGCCCTGCAGATGTGGGCACCACGAACAGGCATTCTTAAACACAGCATATCGCTGACTTATGCTGTTTGGCAGGTTTGCAGTGCAGCAAGTGGAAAATTGTGTGTCTCCACAAGAATGCATGTTGAGGAATGCTGAAAGACAACTCAGGTATGCTTAAGCCAGCTGACAACACAATATTGACCTGCAGATCTGCTTCCAATAATAAACCACACACACAAACACACACACACACACACACCAGCAACATTGCAGGCAAAGAGGCGCTCAGCTGTGCAGCTCTGCCTTCAGGTATCTCTTATTTATTCATAGTGCACGTCACACCTGTCCTCAGCTTCTAGATCTGAGAGTTATTCTGCTGTCACATTTTAAAAACATTTCACACACGTGTCAGCTGTGTGTGTGTGTATGTGTGTGTGTGTGGGGTAGGAGGTGGGCGCACACACCTGGTTTAACAGTCTTCAGGCGGATAGGCTCCCGAAAGTGGCGGATGACAGCCAGTGTGTCACGGTTGGTGAGTCCGCTCACCGGAGTGCCGTTCACCTCCAGCAGCACGTCCCCGCTGCCGGGAAACCTGCCGGTGTGACAAACCATCGCTTCCGAAACTATGTGCCCAAGGTAGGGGAACTCTCCCAGCTCCGCGCCGCCTCGCACCTCCACCACAGTGACCAACTCCCCGGAGCCACCCCACGACACGGTGCACTCCTGCACTTTGGTGGACCAGTGCTTCTTCTTTTTCAACGTCTTGGACATGGTTGGCAGCTGCTGAAAAAAAAAAAAAAACCTAGACGGAAGTCCAAGAACGATTGTCCTTCAAAGCAACAACCGTTTTCAGATCCTAAGGCGCAATGACGCACGGAGAAATCATGGCAGATTAGACAACTTGAGGCTGCTGTCTCGTGTTGTATTCCATTCCAGGGGGAAACAAGTCTTTTTTCTTGCTCTTCTTCAGCTCAAACTCCCTCTGTGGAGGATCAATCCTTCCATTGAATCACTCGAGCATCACCTGTCCGCGGCTGGAACGTGAGACCAGCTGCGTCAGTGTCGCATTGAAGCGGAAAAGTGCTGCTTATGATGCTGGGGCGTCTCGATCCCACACCCCACTTCACAGCAACGTGTACTTCACACACACAGCAGCAGCTTTCCCTTCACTGTAAACCCCGATGCTAGCCACAGATCCCGAGAGTCCCGCAGTTCGTGCGCACCAAGATCCCGTCAGTTCCAAGAGTAAACCGGGCTGTATTCCACTTTGGACTTGAGAAAACGCCAGTAAACTCGATAACACAACGAGAAAAAGAGTTTAGAAAAATACTAAAAAACTTCAAAAACTAGTTTCCCAAAGGTTAACCAGCTGCAGAGAGGAGCTCCTCTCCCTGACAGCTCTTCATCCAAACCTACTGGAGAGACAAGTTTACCCTCGAGCACCTGTCCTCCTCGCCTGCCCTCCTCCTCCTCCGCGGTGACATCAGCAAGGCAGTCCTTGGAAACGGAAAAACATACCTGGTCCTCCTCTGAACCGGCCGCTTATCTGATCCACGCAAAACACCCAAACTCTGCTTCGTGTTCGTCGTTGCGCGCCTTGCGCTCTCCCCTGCGTTCCCACGGCCACTGTGGATTTTTATATACTGAAAACTACGCAGCAGCGTGCAACAGACGTGATCCGATTAGGCTTCGCTCCATAACTTTTTTTTTCCCCCATCTTTTTCCGTGTTGCTTTCCTGACGGCAGGAGGTTCTGTCCAATCGGAACTTAGGGGGGCGGGGCCAAACCGCAAATATCGAGCCAATGATGAATGGCGTGAGGCGGGTGTTGTACGAGTGGGAAGCGTTGGATTTTGTTTCCATGGTGTGTTAGCAAGGCGGAGCTCCCGCAGTGGGACGCATATTTTCACGTGGGAATCGCTTATTGTAAGTTCCAGATAAGTTGACGTGCGCTGCGTGGCCTGCTGCTGGAGCCGGTTTCAATGTGTCACAGAGAGATACAGCCTCCAAGTGGTTGCTGAAGAGTTATGATGGAGTTTTAGATGTATGAAATGCATCTGGAGACCTGGAGGTGGAGAGGTTGCTTGTTGGGTGATGGTTGGTTGATTTGGTAATCCTTTGCGCAATTCTGCCCTCTTGTGGTCGGAACAGTCAGAGGCTGGCACCATATTCCAAACACCCACCACCATCTCCACTAAAACCACTGCACAACAATTCATTTTAGTTTAGGATCTGTCTCCACTCTCACACAGAAACATCAGAAACAGCATCTGTACTTCCACACACATTCTTGTTTTAATGATGTTTACTCATTTGAACACATTTTTTACATTCTGTGTTTTGCTTCTTTTCCTAAGAGAAGGTTTGCTTTTCTATCTGGTCAGCCACAAACACATTTCTCAACACGACACACAGAAAATAAAGAGATTTTACGTGTGCATATTAATCACAGTTTAGTCACTTATAGTAACTGTTGTGGCAGCAGTAGGTGTGAGCATGACTCATGTTAATGTTATCACTTCTGCTGCTTTTGTTAATAATTAACAGTCAGTCAACTTTCCAGCTCATCTCATCGGTCAGCGCCCTCGCAGGCAGACAGACGGCCCATTTTGTGAAAACTGCTGATAACAAGCGTGTCATTGTGATTTTTCAGCGTCTGTCTGTTGTTAATTTTTATTTTATGGCTGTAAATCTGTATTCACTCCCACATTAGTGCCTCTGGTGTCAGGTAGGAAATGTTTACAGTGATTTGTAACAATTTGGCTTTATGCCATGTTTGTTTCTTTCAGTGTGAAGTTACTTCATAGTTACTTTTATTCTATGCAGGGATGAACTTCTCTGGTGGCTATTTTTACATTTTTTCTGTTGTTATGGTCTGCAATTTCTCCTGTATGTGAGAAATGCCAGCTGTTCCTCATGGATGTGGACGCAAAGTGCAGCAACAATACCTCTCCCTCTGTGTGCTGTAAGTTTTAAATATGACACTTCTTGAAAAACTGGAAGTTGCGCTCCTTTGCTCTGTATACATGACACCTGTTGTGATCTTTTTATGTCAGTAGACAACAGAAGTGATTTCACTTCTGTGCAATGTCACCTTAATGTCAAAGAAGAAACTCAATACAACAAAAGTAAGCACACCTTTCATTACTGAGACTGAAATTGGCCTTTTTTTTTTCTTTTTCTTTTTTTTTAGTATTTCCTGTGTCCACTTTCATTTTTGATGACAGACTCAGTTCTCCTTGTCATGGGGGAAACCACAATATTGGAGAGATTTTGTGGCATTTTTCTGATATTTTTCTCCACTTCTCTTTGTTGGAGGGTTTGTGTTGCTCTATTGCGCTCTTTAAAAATACCACAAAGGTATTCTTTTAAATTAAAGTCGGGCAGCATACTTGATCAGGTCATGGCGGTCACCTTTTCCTTCTTTAGAAACTCTTGTGTGACTTTTACAGTTTACTTTAGATCATTATCGGGCTGGAATATTTCTTTTCTGCCAAGCTTCTGCAGACTGAAAGTCATCTTGTTCGCCAATGTTTTTGGTATATCCACAGACATAAATGGTCCTGTCTAAAAGTGCCATCTCCCCAGAACATTTTGCACTCCTGCAGCCCTGTATATCACACTTCACATCTATGCTTTTCTGTCAGGACTGTGCATTCACTGTGGTAGTCCTGACAACGCTCACACCAAACATGCTAGATCTTATCTGAGCTGACCAAATTCACTTTGGTCTCATCTGGCCAAAGAATGTGTTCCCAATATTCATTTCGCTTCTTTTCATAGCCCTTAGTAAAGTTTAATATCGCAGTCATTTTTCCTTGGACACCGTCCATAGAGGTTGGCATTATGCACTGTCCTTCACAATAACTGAGCTGTCACAGAAACTCTGATTTCAATTCATTCTAATAAGCCTCTGTGCCAAGTCTGAAGCAACTGGCCATCTGTTTTTTAACGAGACTATGCAAGTATCTTCATGTTCATGGCACCTTTTTGGGAGGATGATGGCTCTGATGAATGGTACTACGCCTCAGTCTACACTGCAGCAACTGTGTTTTGACTGAGTTTTTGTTAGTCCCCAATCTTTCTGTGTCTTTTTTTTTTTTTTTGTCTTTGTGAAGTCTCACAATCAGATATTTCAGTTCCTTTGGCAATTCAAAATCACCAGTGTATTGAATTTTGTTTTAGTGATCATAGGGTTTAAACTAGTGATGCATGATATTAAAAGTCCTGGCCGATACCGATATCCGATATTAAGATTTCTAATATCACCAATAACCGATATTACCAATGTCGATATTCAATTTTTGTTCACACCAAAAATGAGTATAAGTAAACACTGTGAGAATGTGAAAAATACTGAAAAGAAGCCCATACCAAATTAGACCACATAGTCTTCTTTATTACATAACAAAAGTAAAACATATTTAAACATATTCAACATTCAAGTCCAGCACCATTTAAGTAAAAAACATCAGTGAAATAGCAGCAATATCAAATGTAGAGACAAAGGCGCTAATGTTAGACAATCATCGGTTTTTCACATCGGCTAAATTTGTTCATCAGATCAATACTGAGACATGGGAAAAAACACTAATATCGACCAATACCGATGTGATCGCTGATATATCATTCATTCCTAGTTTAAACTTATATGTTAGTCATCACAAGTGTTTTCACTTTTGTTGCACTGACTTTCTATTTTGAGGGCTGCGCTTTCAATATAGTCTTTCTAAAGCATTTAAATACTCTACTGGTCAAGTTATAAATAATGCAGCTATTGAGACCTGAATCCGTTTGGGATCATTTGACATTTAGTGATTTTGTACTCAAATAACCCTCCTCATCTGCCCTTCGTTTAATACAGATAAAGTGCTTTCAAACGTTCTCAACCTGCTTCTTCTTTCACTTGTTTTGAAGCTGAAGAGTCATCCGGTCCACTTGCTGTCATTATCATCCCCTCTCTGTTGGCTCTGAGCACAGTTTTAGTGGTGGCTCTGATTTTATGCAGCCTCTATAAGAACAAACAAAGAAGACAGAGGACCGCAGCTCATTGTGCAAATGGTATGAACTGCAGTACTTGTATATCCACTTTATAAAACACTGAGAAACACTAAAAATCAAACATTGGTCTACTTCAGTGCCTGAGAGCAATAGCAAGTGCTTATTTAGTTAATAAACCTGCATCAGCTCTTGTTTTTGTTTTGTTTTTTTTGACAGGCCAGCGGAGTGTATCCCTGACTGCAGATTCTGTAAGCGCTCAAAAGGTCCAGGCAGCTTTGTATCCCTGGGAAGTCCCTGAAGAGTGTGTTCTTGAGGGACTACAGTTTTGGCAGACAGGTCGCTATGGCCCTATTTGTAAAGGTTTGCTGAAGAAGAGAGATGGTGCCTCCTCTGCTGTGGTGGTCAAGACCCTCCGAGGTACACCATGAATCTGTCATAAGGCCGATATCCTACTGAGTAATAAGGTTACTGACGTTGTCTATTTGTTATTCTGATGTAAATCCATACAGATGGCCCCAACCAGCCTGAAGCTAAGGAGTTTGTGCAGTGGGTCCTCTTCCATGCCACAGTGTGTAAACATGAGAATGTGGTGCAGATGTTGTACTGTCAGACCAAGCGTCCACCTATGTACCTGATCTTGGATGGCTACAACCCAGGGAACCTCCTTCACTTCCTCTGGACGCTCAGAAATGTAAGTTCTACACAGTTTTAAACTAAAGTTTCTCTTTAACGACGCGTGCAATCTCAAATTCCTGCATTTATTTTCAACTCCAGACAAATTCAAGCACTGCAGATCCATTACAGAGCTTCTCTGAGAGGTCAGTGTTTCTGGTGGCAAAGCAGGTTGCGGCCGGTCTGGTGAGTCACTTTTTGTCGACCAATTATTTCCAGCAAACAACTACACTAAAATGAGCTTATTTAAGGTGTCAGGCCCTACTGCTGGTGTCATTCTGTACCTCAGCAGGTCATGATACGTTTGCTATTTTCTCCCATTGTTTGTCTTGAATTTTGAAGAACTGTTGTTGCGAAAGATTGATGTGTTTGGCTGTAATTGGCTCCTCCCTCAGGATTACCTGATGTCAGAGCACAGGCTGGTGCATGGCAATGTTGCTGCCAGGAACATCTTAATTGGCCCGGGTCTCTCAGCCCGAGTGTGTGGGCTGGGTGTGGCATTTAGAGGACGCAAAATGGATTCAGCAATTAGGAAGAGAGCAACAGAGGTGCCTCTGAAATGGCAAGCTCCAGAGAGGATTATGATGCAGCTCAGTATCGACAGGAGCGACGTGTAAGGGCAGAGTTATGGCTAAGTAAACAAAACACACAAAAAACTCTGAGATTGTGTTGTTTTTTTTTAAATCATATTTTTCAGTTTTTGCTCTTGAACATTTATTACATCTTACAAAAAAAAAAACATTCTAATATGAGTCAGAACTTCTTCCTCTCCTCAGGTGGTCATTTGGAATCTTACTGTATGAGCTGATTACTCTAGGTAAAATACCATGTCCTATTATCTGTCAACAAAATGATTAAAAACACAACAACAACACTGATTTAGTAGCTGTAGTGTTCCCTTTTAGTTTAACTTGTTTTAAATGGATTAATTTCCACAATCAAACCATCAGCTGAATCATTTTACCATACAAGTCACATTTATCTACTGTAATTCTTTTGGTTTTTATCTCAGGCTCTCCTCCATATCCTGAACTGGAGCCTCCGTCAGTGTTTCAAAAGCTACAGGCATCTTATCGAATGAAGAGACCAAAGAACTGTGGGGGACCTTTGTAAGTATACTCTACTTATAAGCAAAGAAGATGCATGACAGGGACTTATGGGCATATATGTGTAGTGTATATACTGTATGTAGATATGTGTAGTGTAGTAATAGTCAAAAGTCTGTTTAAAATCATGACAGCTCATTTCTGTTTAACCAGTGTTTTGTTGTTTATCTCCCATGTTTAGGAAACAAGAATTTAGATGACATGATTAATACCGCAGTCTTTTTTGGCCATTAGAAATTAAGCTACAGCCAGCAACTGCAAGCGGCTTAGCACAAAGATATAAAAACAGGAAGAAACAGAAAACTGTCTCTATCCAAAGGCAACAAAATGTAACTACCAGCACCTCTGAAGTTCACAATCTAACACATTGTATCATATTTATCTGAACCATACAAAAAGTGAAGTGTAAAAAGTCTTAGAGGCGCTGGTAGTCGGATTTCGTTGCTTTTTTGTGAGCAGGTTAGTTGTTTCCCACTGCCTTCAGTCTTTGTGCTGAGCCTTCTAGCTTCATGCTGTGTCTATACAAAGTATTCCCCTCCCTTGAAAGTTTTTTCCCTTTATTGCTTTTTAGCAATGAGTCATGGTCAATTTCCATCCATTATCTATACACCGCTTAATCCTCACGAGGGTCATGGGGGGCTGGAGTCTATCCCAGCTGACTTAGGGTGAAGGCAGGGGACACCCTGGACAGGTCACCAGTCCATCACAGGGCTACACTTAGAGACAGACAACCAAGCACACTCACATTCACACCTACGGACAATTTATAATCACCAATCAACCTCAAGGAAGCCGCAGAACCTGGAGAGAATCCACGCTGCACAGGGGAGAACATGCAAACTCCACGCAGAAAGATCCCGGGCGTCCTAACTAGGACGCAAATGGGGATCTTCTAGCTGCAAGGCGACGGTGCTAACCACCGAGCCACCTTCCACCATGGTCAGTTTAATTTGGCTTTACTGATAATAATTCACCATAAGAGTCCTTTATGTCAAAAGGAAAACAGATTTCTACAAAGCAGCGTCAACTAATTACAAATATAAAATGTAAAATAAGTGATTGCACAAGTATTAACCCCCTTTAAAGTGACTCACCTAATTCAACATGGGTGCAGCCAACTGGAGAGAGAAGTCACGCAATTAGTGAAATGGAGGTCATCTGAGTGCAGTGAATGTGTCTCAAGTGATTGTAGTATAAAGATGCCTGTATCTGGAAGGTCCAGTCACTGGTGGATCAATACTCCTGGCTATAGCTACACTATGAAGACAAAAGAACACTCTAAGCAACCCTGTGAAGAGGTTGCTGAAAAGCATATGCCTTGGAGTACAATTAAATTTATCATTTACAAATGTACGGAATACAATGTCACAAGCTTCAGCGGCTGAGATGAGAGAGACTGTGTATACCAAAACTGTTGCCTGTTCTTCACCACTCAAACTCTGGGAGTGTGGCAAAGACAAAGACACTGTTGAACAACACTCATCGCAAATCTTGATGAGAGTTCACCAGAAGGCATGTGGGAGATTCTGAAGTCAAGTAAAAGAAGGGCCTTTGGTCTGATGGGACTAAGATTGAGGTTTTTGGCTATCAGACTAGACCCTTTGTTTGGCAAACACTGATCTTCATCACAAACACAAACGTCCACTGTGAAGCATGGTGGTGGCAGCATCATGATGTGGGGATGCTCCTTGGCAGCAGGCCCTGGACGGTTTTTAAAGGTAGAGGGTATAATGGGCATAATTAATGGATTAGTATAGTATAGGGACATCCAGGTGGTGTAGTTGCGAGTCAAAGGTCTTCATCTTCTAAATAATGACTTGAAGAGGGTGAATACTTCTGCAGTCATTTATTTTACATTTTATATTTTGGATTCATTGACATCATTTTTGAAGAAATCTTTTCAGTTCGACAGGAGTCTTGTCTTTGTAATTTTTTTGTCAAAAAAAGACAAATTATATTAAGTATGATTCATAGTTGAAAAGCAATAAAATGGAACATTTTTAAGGGGTGAATACTTTTTATAGGCACAACGCAGTACACAACCATTACAGTAGGATGGATCTGCCCATCAAAAAGAAAGGAAATAAGCAGTAAAGTGTTGAACTATTCCCTTTACATACAGATGAGTTCTAAATTTCTCTGTATGTCTTTAGGTACGACCTGATGAAGTACTGTTGGATGTGGAGTTTCAAAGACCGACCGGCATTTTCAGCTGTCATAAAGCTGTTGGAGTCATCACTTGACCTCGCTGCTACTAAACCTGTTTGTGTTCCAGAGGTCATCGATGTGCTTGAGTATAACAGACAGGCTGGGCTGCTCTCATCGAGTCATGCAATAACCTAATATGTTTGAAACATTCATTAAGTAAACATGAATAAAGTGCAATTGTTTCTTAAATTGCAGTGTAACACCCAGTGTTCTGTCCACCATCCTATAATCATTCATTTACACTTTTATGTGGCGTTTAAGCAAATGAACCCAATGGATGGATTCAGTTGGTACATTGGTAGCCATCCATAATGTCAAAAGTAAGCCATTGTATCCAAGTCACTTTATTATTATGTCTTTATTGTCAAAATGTACAGACTTAAAAGCACAAATCTTACTGTTCATTAAGATTTCTTCCATTTTAGTACAGTTTTTTTTATCTATAATTCTCTTGGCATGCATACATCACTGTGAGTTTACAATTTAAAAAACCAAAACACACACACAGGATATCTGAATTTGCTACTGAATGTACAAGAGTAGATTTGTCTATGCTCTTTACATTGTAGGTTTTCTTCACAGCACTGGTTATCATAAACCATGTCAAGAACCACAGTGAGTTTAAATCACTACGAAATCAGAAAACATGACCTTTTGCATTTTTTTTTCCTCAACAGAGGTGTTGAATTATGAAATTCTGCTGCACCTCATCAGAATATTCTCAAAGCTCTCTATAAGGCAGACTAATGTAAATAACTCATAAATAGCTATGACTATGAGTTATGGCTTTTCAGAAGGTTCAAATCATTGAAATCACTGAACTGAAACTACCTTCATACCCTGTTTTTGACACCTCTGAGTACAAGCTCAAGGATGACGGTTTTTAAAGGGCAATCAGTGCATGAGAATTTTAATATGGGTTGTCAACAGCTTTAAGGGCTGAGAACTGACACATTTACTGCCATTCTGTACTATTATATACTTTAGGCTTCTGAGCAGATCAGTATAAAACTATATAATCTCCCCATTTCTCACTCACAATGCAGAGACACCAATACCCATTGTGAAACACAACAATTGATGTCAAAAATAAGTCCAATGCTATACAGAGCTGCTCTACAAAAAAGCAACATCCCTCAGACATAATACTGGCCAAGTGAAAGGAAACTGACACCCTTATTTGATGCTCCCTTAACCTCTGTATGTATTGTGCTTGCAACTGTAATGCTACTTCATATATCACCTTTTAGGCAGAATGTGTGGCAAGGTGACATTTTTACCCACTAGATGGCAGGAAATGCAGGGTTTGCAACCTCTGCGCCTCTTGAAGGGTAAATTCACACACATCCAGGAGGCAGAAAATTGCTGTTGCAGGGTTATTTTTGGGATACAACTTCTGTTCATGTTGCATTTTTTTTCTTTTTTTTTTTTACTCTTCTTCAGTTGCTGATGTCACTGCAGGTGTTCTGACAAGTGACTGAAAACACCTGCGGTGACATTTGACTGTGGTCTGAGGAGTACTGTGAGACGTGATGTGATCCAGTGTGGATTTACTTACTATGTAAACTGTAATGCCTCTTAAAACAGAGGCAAACACACACAAAGACTCAATAAAACAATACATAGAAGAAATATGGAAATCTAACATGTCATCCTGGACAGACTCACAACTTAATAAAAGTCTCTAAAAACCTAACAAGCAATCCTTAATTTACAAAAGTGAATGTTGTGGTCAATTGATTCCCAAGTAAACCTGTTTTAAACATACTGATGACATAACATTCATGCCAAAAGTTTCCAGTCACTGGATTTAAGAAACAGAAAAAGTATCTTTTGAGGAAATCCTGACCTGAACTTTATGACAGGGAAATATTCCAACACTGATGATAGATCGGATTAATATTGCAGAAGGGATAATAAACTGGAGGCCAACCTGATGAAAATTCAGATTTTAGAACAAGCCCCTACGTTCAGTTTAAGTGCAACAAACACAGAAGACAGCATGAGGGTTAGTCTTCACCGGTGACATTAAAATGTCCTCCTCGTCCCTCATTCTAATTCTCTTCAGTCCAGGTTCTGTCTTAGAGGCGTCACATCAAAATAAAGGTTAAATAGAACGAGTGTTCACCTGTGATGAGCAAGTTTGGCTCCGTAGCAGGAGGGAGCAGCAGCAGTCTGGAAGCATCAGTCCACCCACATGGGCCTGAGGTAAATCTATTTGTGAGTTCTGAACAATGCCAGGCCCCCTTTTTTTTTTTTTTTTACACCTTACTGCTCCAAAGGGATGTCGGGAACAAAATGTAGGAGACAGACCACAGCAGGTAGTATACACATGCAGGCGGGAAGGAAGAGCAGAACACCATGACGACTCCTGAAAATGACAAAAAGACAGAAAAGAGATAAAGAAATAAATTGAATGTATTGTTAAGCTTGTATAGCACTCTACCCACTTAACTTAAAAGAGCAAATGTCAACCTGCTGGTAATCCCAACGAAAAAATTCAGGGACTCAAAAAGTCTGTGGGATTCATTGTGTGGGAAACAAGAATTGTCAAGGTTTTGTCAAAGCGTATATAGCAGATATTGAAATACAATAATTATAAATAATACTCAACCCCTTTGGAAGTTTATGCTTTTTAACATTTAATCACAATTACAAAGACATTTTCAGCATATTTCACTCCTGACTTCTTTCTCCAACTGCCTGCATCTTTGTTGCTTTAGGTGGGTCACTTTAAAGATGTGAATACTTATGCAATCACTTACTTTAAATTTAATACTTTTAATTAATCTACATTACTTTAAAAATCTGGCCAAGTCGA